ATCATACAGTCAAAAGTAAAAATAGGTTTACAGTTGTGAGTATACAAAACACAGTTTATTCTTCTATTATTATTAGTTGTTGTATTATTTATTTGTATTACAACTGTAAACTTACTTTTGCCACCTCGTATTAGTTTGGGTAGGCTATGTCTATAACAACCATTCTCTGGATTCCATTAATACATTAAATGTTTATCTCTCAATATAAACTAATGTGGACCTGACATGATTTAGGGGAAAATATTTGCAGTTACCATCCATACTGACAGGTAGACAATTGATTGCAAAATTTTCAATTACCAATGTTTGAATACATATGCTCCTTGGGTCTTGTATTTAAAGGTATGCTTTAGTAATTGCAAGTGGCATTTAGAAATTAAACACAAAATTTCTCTTCCCATACATAAGTTTGAGGCAACTACTGATTGATTGAAGGGCTCCTGAGTTATAGTCCCTCGTTCCTGTTGTTTGAGCAGATGGGGGTCCAGATTGTAGGGAAAAAGGGTCAACAGTAGTGGAATAAAAAACTGCACAGCAGAAAGAAAGAAGGAGCTTCTACCCTTTGTGACAGCATGGATGAAACTGGAGAGCATTATGCTAAGTGAAATAAGACAGGTGGTGAAAGACAAATACCATATGATTTCACTTTTAAGTAGAACATAATCAACAAAACAAATAAGCAAGCAAAATATAGCCAGAGACATTGAAATAAAGAACAAACTGACAGTAACGAGAGGGGAGGTGGGAGAGGATAATGGAGGGAAAGAAGGGGAAGGGTTTTCAGGAACATCTATAAAAGACAAATGGACAAAACCAAGGGGCTGTGGGTTCAGGATGGAAGGTGGGGATGGCTGGGGTTGGGGAGAGTGGGAGCAGGTAAGTGGAGACAACTGTAATTGATCAACAATAAAAAAAGCTAAAAAAATCATTAAATTCTGGGGGTCAAATAAAATAATATTGTATGATAATCAGAAAAATGTTGTTTAGAAATTCCATATAAATCCTTAGACTTTGCAATTGGAAGGTCAATCATTTGTTGAAGTTACATTTCCTTCTTCACTGTCCTGAAGTAGCAAAATTTACCTTGGCAGAGTCTGATAGTAAAAGAACTGGGTGGAGAAACAAATGAAGGAACTTACTCATCCCAATTCTACTAACACACATTCTAACCTCTTGGCATTCTTATTTTCACTATCTATAAAGTATCAGATTAATTGTCTTTATTACCTAATAGGTATATTTTAAAACCTTGAATGACTATTCCCTAGGAGTAACTTTTCTAAAAATAGATCAGTTCTGACAGGGTCTGATGATCCAATTTTGAAATTAGCTCTATTCTTGATTTGATTAGGGTAATCCTGAGTATCTAGGGGCCCTATTCTATTACCCCAGTAGGAGAAAAATGTATATTCTTAATTGATGCAGAATGTCACTATGCTTTATTTTTTTAATTGTACAATTTTTAATTTGTTTACCAATTAAAAGTTATCAGGTTTATGAGAACATAACATATGCACAAAACCAAGAGAAACAATAAACAATACAATCAGTCTCATAGGGGACTTAAATAATGGATCTATAATTCATAGGCATTAAAATAATTATGAATAATTTATTTGATAAATTATAAGAAAAGACGGAGGTCAGCAGAGAGTTAAAAACATAGATAAAAAGAAAATGAAAATTCTAAAATTGAAAAACACAACTGAACTTATAAAATAAATAGATGGATATAACAGCAGATTAGACATAGCCAAAGAAAAGATTAGTGAATTGAAAGACAAATCAGACTAAAATACGAAATGAATTCAAATATTAAAAAATAGAAAATATGGAAAACAGCATAAGAACCATATGAAAGATGTTGAATACAATTAAGATACATATTTGTAGGACCTGGAGTAGAGGAGAGAGAAAATGGGGAAAACACTTTGATTTATATAAAGTACAGACAGTCCCCGACTTATAATGTTTTCACTTATGATTTTTCAACTCCACAATGGTACAAAAGAGAATATATAATGAATTACATGAGATATTCAACATTTTATTATAAAATAGGCTTTGTGTTAAATGATTTTACCCAACTGTAGGCTAATGTAAGTGTTCTGAGCACATTTAAGGTAGGCAAGACAAATATATGATGTTCAGTACGTTAGGTGCATTACATGCATTTTCAGCTTATGGCATTTTCAATTTCCAATGAGTTTATCTGGATGTCACTTCATTGTAAATCGAAAAACAGTTGTATAAGAAATTAAAGCTAATCTATGGTGTTAGCAGCATAGTGATCATTGTTGGGGAACAAAAACGGAGCATTATTTAGAAGAAGAATGAAAAAGGTTTCTGGGGTGTTAGTGATGTTTTATTTCTTCACTTGAGTGATAGTGACACAGAAATTATGATAATTGAAGAAGCTGTATACCAGTGCTTCTCAAACTGAGGCAACTTTTGCTCCTCAGAGGATATGTTTGGAGGAATTTTTCATTGTCACAACTGGAAATGGGGATGGGTGCTACTGGCAGTAGCTGGGTAGAGGCCAGGGATGCTGCTAAAGAGCCTGCAGTGCATATGGCAGTCCCTCCCCGCCTTAACCAACAATCATATTGCCCAAAGAAAAAGAATACAGATGACTAAACTCAGTTTAGAAAAAAGAATAAAAATGTGACAAAGGCAATGTTGCAACCTGTAGGGTAAATGCAGGCAGTCTGGCTTCCTCACCCAGGTGTCTGAGTAACTAAGGGAAGCAGTGTTCCCATAACCCTGAATGGGTCTGATAACTAGTGTTCTCATAGCCTTGAGACTGGGTCCAACAAACTGTTCCCATAACATGAAGTGGGCTCGCATGTGCAGAATCATGCTATGTTACATAATTTTCTGGCTCAAAGCTTACTTTGTTTGCCTCTAGTACTTAAGCCAGTAGGGTCTTTTCCTGAGAGACACACAGTTTGCAGTATGTGTGGCTTTCCCACCTGTGAGTAAGGGCATGTCAACCATCCACATGACTGTGCATTTTCTTCCGTCTCCCAGAACCTAGAGTGGACCTGATAGGCCTTGACAGGCTGCAATACACAACCCATATGTTAATGATTCCAACAGTGTTCATTTCTCCCAGATCTGATAAAGGATGTTTGCTAATTAGGGAAAGGAAGTACTGAAAATAATTTATTTACATGGTACAAAGTATCAAAGATGATTACTTAAGTAAATTAATGTATCCACAGAAAGTAATAAAATAACTTATTTGGTTCATTTCCTAGGAACAACTTATCTCATTCCAGTATTGAAACATAGCATGAATTGCTCAATTGAAGATCACTTTTATGAAAAAGTACAGGCAAAATAACATTAAATAAATAATGTAATTGCTGCCCTGGCTAGCATGTCCCAGTAGGTTGGGCGTCATACTGCAAAGTGGAATGGTCATTGGTTCAATTCCTGGTCATAGCACATGCCTAGGTTATGCGTTTGGTCCCCATTTGGGGCACATATGAGAGGTAGCTGATTGATGTTTCTCTCCCTCTTTTTCCCTCTCTTCCCTTCTTTCTAAAAATAAAACAATAAATAAAACCTTTAAAATCAATGCAATCACTGAAATGTAGGAATCCTCAATAGAACAAGTACCATCTTTTTCAGACCATAAGACACACCTAGGTTTTAGAGGAGGAAAATAGAAAAAGAAAATTTTGAAGCAAACAATGTGGTAAAATATTTAATAACATAAATAACATAATATTTCACCAATGTAAATGTAAACAGAACTTAACAGCAGCATTAACAACCATTATTCCTCCCAAATGTGGGGGGGGGGGCGGGGAAAGTGTGTCTTATAGTCCAAAAAATATGATAGCTCTTATTCAGAGAAGTTGGAAATGGAAGATCACTTAGTCTTACTAATAAAATATTCACTTTCTTCCTAAAGTAGCCTCTTAACACCTATAAGAGGATGTTTCAGTGAGGGCAAAAGATAAACTTAACCAAATGAACCAAACCAAACCAACCTGAAGTGATCCTAGCATTCCACCCTGCCCCACCTTAACCACAGGAAGCAAAGATCAATATAGTTATCTTAAGATGAAATTATTAGGTACATCCCAGAATATAGGAGATGAAGGGGCCTTGGGAGAAAGAAAACTTACTGGTTGATCAAGGGGGAGACTTCTCAAAAGGATGGAATTCGGTTGGCTCCAGGAGTAGTTGAGACCACATCATGCTTCAGACACCAGTTTAAGTGAACTTAGAAAACAATGATTCTTGACTTACACCCAGATTGGCATAGTGAAACCTAAGATCGCTATACTCCAATAGGCTAAACACAGAGGTGAATGAGAAGGTTGTTTCCCTTTGCCCTCTCTCAATAACTAGGTTGGCAAGAAATTTGGGAGTTACTCCAGTTATGTCCCTCAGTTGATGTGGAGAGATCAGCCTGATATTTCATATTTATCTTGCCTGTTGCCCCAAGTGTCTCAATATCTCAGGGTAATTTTGACTTATGGAAAGCCATGTAGAGCCAAGTAGGGCTAAATGGAAGAAAGCTCCCGGATGGTTTTCAAATGGAGAAGAGACCTTGTTCTGTGAAGCTTCTAATTTTACTATAAAGTTATAGTGTTAAGAAATAAAAATACTATCTTTTCTGACTCTGTATCTCTCTTGTTCTTTCTTTCTCTTTCTCTCTCACACACACAATACACACCCATCCACATACTGGAGCTCAGCCAAGGCCTTGCTGAGCCTGCGACTGGGCTATTCTTTTAATCCCACATTCTATTCATAAATTTTAAATACTCTTTTTACTTCTTGCTTTCCTCACTTGAATCACTTCAGTCATCACATCTGGTTTTCCGAGCAACAAGGAACATGTATGAAGCACACATGGACAAAGCCAAAGGGGGTGGATTCAAGGGTAGGAAGCCGGGATGGTGGGGCAAGGGGTGTGGTGGGGTGAAAATGGAGACAACTGTACTTGAACAACAATAAAAAAAGAAAAGACAGAAACTCACGCGACTTTGGCACAGACAGTGCACCTCCAGCTGCCATCAGGGCCCAACACCCGGCACTCACGGCACACTCTCAGTGAGCAAGCCTGGCATCGGTCTCCCCGGTCAAATATTAAACCCAGGTTTTTCTGACAGTGAGCGCAAATTCTGCTTGTCTCTTGTTGAGTCTTCCCACTTCTACGTTTTGCTTCCAAGAGTTCATTTTTAAGCTTCCTGAAAGGAGAGAAAAAATTATTAAACAACAACAACAACAACAACAACAACAGAGGAGCTGAGCTGTCTTTATTTAAGGGACATTTTCATTAGGAAGAACATTTAAAATAATCAAGAAGTCAGAGCCAAATATTTTCAGAAAACACAATTTCTTTCTCCAGAATCAATGACTTTTTGACATCAGTAGTAGAAAAACATGTTTTACTTTGGAATTTTGACATTCTTTACTGGCATTGCTAGTTTGCTATTAGTACTTACTCACATTGCACTCCAACTTCTCTAAGATCTTTGATAACATAATATTGGAGCAGAACCCCAGCCTAGAGGCATGCATAATACCATGTCATTTACTTGCATAGATATACTTACTACATGAGGCAAGATTATGAAATCAAACTTGGGAATATGGGAACTTCCCTAAGATGATCCAATGAAGATTTTGTTACAAAGACATTGCCTACCATTTCAAATGTAAACACTTCTTCTTACTATTTAAGGGTTTCCAACATTTCCTTTGACCTGTGGGCTTTGCTGTCAGGCATGTCTATGTTTCAATTCAGGTTTCATCATGAATAGCTATCCAACTTAGACAATGACTTACACATTCAACCTAAAACTCTTCATTTCTAAAATTGGGGTAATAATATTCTTCTTACTATTATTGTATTATTTTCTGTTTTCAAGAGTAAATGACATAATATGTGTAAAGATACCAGCATAATGCCTGGCACATGGGTACTAAAGAAATGTTATTTCCATGTCCCTCCTTTACTATCTGACATGTATATTTATATACCTTAGAAAATAACTATTCAGTGTCAGCATCATCTGGGACCTTATTAGGATGCAGAATCTCAGGCTCCACCTTATAGCTACTGGATCAGATCCTGCATTTCACAAAATCTCTAAGTGATTAAAGTTTGAGAAGCACAGCTTTGTAATATTTGTTCTCAAATTTGCCTATGCACTGGAATCAACTGGGAAGATTCCAGTTGGACAAAAAGTTATACTTATTCCCAAGCCTTATCCCACCTACCCCCATTCTGATATAATTGGTATGAGATGTGGCCTATGCAATGATGATTTAAAAGTGTCCTTATTTCTTCTACATATTGCCAAGTTTGGAAAACACTAATGTAGATGACAGGTTCATTCCACTTAAATGCTTCACAAACATGGCATTCCTTTATACTATCTGCATCCAGTACCTTCTTCAACATAGCATTTGTATGATCCAAAACAAACAAACAAACAAACAAACATCCCAGAATCATCCCACACATTTCATACAATCTCATTTTACATTTGTGGACCTGTGCTTTTTGTTATACCCAGTGAGGCTGGCATCTCCTCAAAGGCATTAACAATGACTTCAGTTTATTGTATATACTGCTCAAGACACAACTGTGTGTTAAATTATAAGGTACTTAAATGTTTAAAACTATTTATTATGTCTTTGGGGCCTTGAAACTAACTTGTGAGGTATTGTGAGTTTCATATTAAAGATTGTAAGCAGTATAAAAAAAAAACCCAGAAACCAGGTCTTTTAATTCCTAGCCTGAATCTCTCATTAATAAATGGAGAATTATAAAAGTGAAGAGTAAGGTTTCCAAAACCTTTGATTGTCTCATTAATTCATTCAATGTGCATTTATTTAGTGCCTATTGTGTACTACAGCATTCTGATATTCAGAGGGAAAATAAGTCAGGCAGGATACCTACTAAGGATTCCCATTATCCTTCAAATTAGTCTAGAAAAGGATAAATGATGCAAGATGATTCATATGTTGCAACAGGCACTCTTAAGTCCTTACTTTTCTGCTTATCTAAACACAAATGACAACAACCTATAACACGTTTTCTTAATCTCTGATTTAGAGCTTACAAAGTACCTCATGTTCTTTTTTCCATGAGCAACTGACTCATGAAATTAAGCATAAGAAAAGCTCCACACAATTTACCTTTGGAAATTTGTAAAGACTACACACTTTTAAAGCACAGAATGTGTTCTCATTTTAAGACCACAACTATATTATTTGGAGAAGTATAACAGACATTTGAATACCTCAGTTCATAGGAGAAATAAAACATTGCCTATTCAAAAACTATAACAATTCATGCAACAATGATAAGGCAACAAAGTGATCAAAATGAGTAGAACAAAGACAGCAATCCTAGACAGCAGTACTATCTGAGTAGGCTGGGGCAGGTGGTGGTGGTGGAGGGAAGAGTAGAAAGCTGAAAAAATGGGGTATTCCTGGATTTCCCAGAGGCAAATTATCCTCTGGGAAAAAAAAAACCCTCTATAATCAGAAGCCTTAAATTTAACCTCTTCAAGTAGAGTGAGACCACTTGGAAAATTTATGGCCATAAAGACAAAAATTTATATTCCATCTTCCTTTGTGTTCTACTGAAATGATTTTATTTCACAATCAGTTTTCACCCAGTTCACTTAGTTCACAGTTCTGGAGTCTGAAAAGACGTGGTCCTCTGTATAAATCAGGTGACAGGGTAGAAGTAACTTAAAGGTCCAAACATACTATCTGAGGAATTCCTAAGGCAATTAGGCCACATATTCTGAAAGTTATCTCCAAGACATGTGGAAAGATTTCCATAGGCTGGCACAAAATATTAAGCAGATTACTGATTTTTAAAATATCTCTTAGAAATTGACCTAATTCAATCATGCCTAGGATAATTCACATGAAGTAGATAACAGTCATTTTCAGACACTCAAGAAGAGGGTAAAAGACGTCAGTTGAAACCAGGAAAAGAGTGTGCAATTGGAGAATTAGTCAGGGAGACAGAAGAGAGCAGTAAGGTGGGAGATGTCTCTTCCCTCTGTTTTACTAGCCAGCACTGACAAAGCAAGATGGACTTTGTTGTAGCCTTGCTGGCCCAGTATTAAGAACTATCTGAGAAAAGTGAGTTTCTGGGATGTTCATCTCTGTCACACATATAAGCTAGAGATACTTCTAAATCCAAGTAACAGGCTTAAATTATTGGTTTCACTGCCCACCCCCAACATACATACATGCATGAAAAGAAATCCAGAATGAGCAGGTTTTTGCATTAGTTCACCTGCAAAATCAGGTTATTAAGGATTTATTTCATCCTGATGGCCACCTATTTTCAAGGTGTGGTTTATCATTCCTAAGCAAAATATCATGGCAGCTCTAGCATAGTGTACAATTTTAAGGCAGCAAGAAGGAAAAAGGTGTCACTTAAACCTGTCTCTTAACAGAAAAGCAAAAATCAACTTGGAAATGCTCCCACCACTACCACTAGCTGCAAGAGAGGCTATGAAACTGGAACAAGTTGAGACTGCATATTCCTACCCTCTTGACATTAGATGTGGTCATGTGACTGACATCAATCCATGAAATGTGGCATGAGATTTCAGATAAAAACTGTAAAAAGCAAATGCTTGGTTTTCCACATGCCCTCCTCTTTGTATGGAGCACAGCAGTGTCCCAAATAAGTAAGTCTGGGTCTTGACATGAGGATGCCATGAAATAGAGTCTTCATCCATCTTGTTATGGATATGTAGCATGAAAAATAAACTTTCATTGTTTTAAACCACTAAGAATTTGAGGATGTTATTACAGCATCACTCAGCCTATCCTGACTGATAAACATACAACCTAGTCCTTCGTCTGTCTGGCTCCCATATATCTTTTTACTTCAGCTTCACTGCTGCTTCCCAGTGAGGCCTTCTCTAACAACCAAATCTAAAGCAGATCCTAGTCTTATACTCACTCAGAGAACTGCATTTTTTTTCTTCACAGTATATATGATAATTTCAATTATACCTTTATTCAGATGTTTTTAAGTATATTTTATTGATTATGCTATTACAGTTCCATTTTTTCTCCCCTTAACCCCTCCACCCTGAACCCCCCTCCTACCATCATTCCCCTACCTTAGTTCATGTCCCTGGGTCATACTTATAAGTTCTTTGGCTTCTCCACTTCCCATACTATTCTTTTTTTTCCCAGTACTATTCTTAACCTCCCCTTGTCTATTTTGTAGCTACCATTGATGCTTCTTATTCCCTGTACCTTTTCCCCCATTCTCGCCCTTCCCCATTCCCACTGATACCTCTCCATGTGATCTCCATTTCTGTGAATCTGTTCTTTTTCTAGTTGTTTGCTTAGTTCATTTTTTTTAGGTCCAGTTGTTGATAATTGTGAGTTTGTTGTCATTTTACTGTTCATATTTTTTATCTTCTTTTCCTTAGATAAGTCCCTTTAACATTTCATATAAGGGCTTGGTGATGATGAGCTCCTTTAACTTGACCTTATCTGGGAAGCCCTTTATCCACCCTCCCATTGTAAGTGACAGCTTTGCTGGATAGAGTAATCTTGGATGTAGGTCCCTACATTCTAGCTCCTTCTTTGCCTGTAAGGTTTCTTTTGAGAAGTCAGCTGATAGTTTAATGGGAAACTCCATTGTAGGTAACTGTCTCCTTTTCTCTTGCTGCTTTTAAGATTCTCTCCTTATCTTTAACCTTGGGTAATGTAATTATGATGTACCTTCATGTGTGCTTCCTTGGGTCCAACTTTGTTGGGACTCTCTGAGCTTCCTGGACTTCCTGGAAGTCTATTTCCTTTGCCAGGTTGGGGAAGTTCTCCTTCATTATTTTTTCAAATAAGTTTTCCATTTCTTGCTCTTCCTCTTCTCCTTCTGGCATCCCTATGATTCAGATATTGGAATGTTTAATGTTGTCCTGGAGGTTGCTAAGCCTCTCTTCATTTTTTTTTAATTCTTGTTTCTTCATTCTGTTCTGGTTGAATGTTTCTTTCTTCCTTCTGCTCCAAACCACTGATTTGAGCCCCAGTTTCCTTAACATTTTCCTTTATTTCACTTTTCATTGCCTTCACTTTTTCCTCTATTTTGTGACCATACTCAACCATTTCTATGAGTATCCTGATTACCAGTGTTTTGAACTCTGCCTCTGATAGGTTGGCTATCTCTTCATTGTTTAGTTGAATTTTTTTC